GTGAGTCACGGAAACACTTCTAAAGTTAGCGTGTACAAAAGCGATAAGCTGGCGGGACTATAGCTGAGTAAAGGTATAGCGTACAAGTGGGTATGGGTATGGAAGGTATGGCGGGACCATAACCCCCTCAAGTTACGGCGTTTAGGTCGACACCAGGTCATGTTTTGGACGCCATTAAGGCGGAGTGTCCGTGTCGTAGGCCGCGCTCTCCCACCAATCTCATTGGTGGGGGATTTGGCGTTCCTGGTCACTTCTTTTGGCGACGCTGTAAGTTGTCACGGCATGCGGTCTTTGGGATGGGCGTGCACAGGTTCTTCCTTTTCAAAGCCGGATAAAGTGAGTGCCACTGAGGCTGCGTTCTTTCGGACTATGGCAATAGCCATACTTTGCCAGAGCCAGTCACTCTCTCGTCTGCCGCCCGACGAGGAAATCAGTCTGGCCACAAGACTTTCGACAACATTTTTCATCAATTGGCCACAAACTCGGCCGTTTTCAAAGGCCATTGGTCGGAGCTGAAACCGCTGAGTGAGACTCGAGCATTTGCTATTATTTCTGCATCCGGCTTCTTAACTGCGGTGCCAGCGGCTATCGCGGGAGGCATAAGGATGGAGGCGGCAAACGTGTTGGTGCGTTTGGCATCCCATACCGGGCTCTTATCGCGGGCAAACGAAAATATGGTCATCCCAGCACGCCTTTTACCGTCTCCCCGGTCGATGCCAAAGGGTTCCAGGATAGATGGGATTGCTGTTGCCGGTAACTCGCGCCTCATCATGTCATTAAGTGTTGTGTGTCCGGGCAGTTGTCCAGCTCTCAAACGACAAATCAGCGCGTGATACCCCTTACGGCCTCTAAGCCGCGTCTGTGTGGTCGACATAAGTCGGTGCCTGCGCGGAGGACAATGGCGAGCCATAGTGTGTTCCGGTCCAGCGGTGTTCAAAGGCTGCCAGGTGGTACGGCGTGGAGCCAAGCACTGCTTTATTGAGTCATGGCGCTCCGTGGCCCAGCTTGGCCGGTTTATTGTCAGTCGGTTGTTGATTGTTAAGAAAATGCTATTGATTTCACCCGGAAATCTAGTTTTCTCGATGCCCTCAGTTGTTTTCAAGAAAATGAACTTGCACAATGTCCATGTCCATGCATCACGAGCACGTTATATAAAGGTCGTGGGGTAGCCATGAGACGTGGCTGAATGCATGGTAAAGTTCAAGCCAGATCTGTCGGGAAGCTTGCAGTTCTCTGTAGGGGCGGCCAAACAAAATCAACAAGTTTTTTTCCTAAGGGGGGGAAAGGAAGGTGCCGTCTTAGATCGATCCATTCCATGGAACGTTTGGCACGTTCGATATAAATGAAAAAAATCATGTTGTTACAAGTTCACTCCCACTTCCACCCATTTCTATCCTCCCGAGAATCCGTTGTATGTTTGAGGGGGCATGGCTTGCATAATTCATGGACGTCCCTTAGATTAGATAAAAGGAACATTCCCAGGCACGTGTCACTCCTGTGCGTTTTGATAACATTTGTTTTGATCATTCTTAGCTAAAAGATTTTGATGCGTTTGTTCTTTGTACCCAGGTCTCTACGTTCTTCAGCTATCGATATTCCGCCACTACGGTACATCTGGATAATTTTGTTTCCATCGTGCTTAGTTCGAAGAGTTCGAGGTCTTTGTACATTGTCCCTAGCTCTCGACGTTCCTGACGATTTTCCTGGCGGGGACTTACTAGCCGCAATCTGTTACAGGATATACTGGAAGGAGACGAGCTGAATCTAGAATATATGTTCATCGCCGAACTTATCCGCGACTTGGTTAAGGTAAGTGGTGCTCGATTTTGCGAGAGGCTTTTGCTGATGACTGTAACCAGTAAAGAGAGAACTGATTTATAATCGAGTTAAATGCGATCAAAATCTTAGAGTTCATGTTAGACGGTGAGGTTCACGTGCATACCGAAATAGTGAAAGTCCAGTTCCCTAAATAATTTTCCCCTCAAGTTTTTAGCCTGACAGGATTTTGTAAGGACATTTTAGTGTCGTAGAATATTGGAACACTGACTGAATGACTGGCTGACCGACCGACCCACTGATCGACCTGCAACGGTATGATACTTCAATACTTTACTATAGTACGGTCATTACTACATTTGGCGCTTCAATGTGCTGGTAGGCCATATAAAAAGCTTTAGTAAGTACCGATTGTTACTTAAAGACCGGCTGCCAAATAGTTGACATAAAAGCGAATTCACATGCCAGAAAACGGGGTATAGATCATCATATCTTAGGTAAATATGACCAGAATCTGCTGTCAACACTTGAATGAAAAACAAACGCCAGGAACGCTCCAAATAGACCTGGCGTCGTCATGCGAATTATGCAAATTCTGTGTTGAGTAGATCGGTTGTTTTGACCATTGCAGGGCATGCTGTACTTGCACACCTCTACGCTGCTCATGCACGGCAATCTCAAATCGTCCAACTGCGTGGTGACCTCCAGATGGGTGCTCAAGGTCACTGACTTTGGCCTGCACGAGCTGCGCACGATGTCAGACCGCGACAGCGAGTGTGATTACCAGTACTACAAGAGTGAGTCCTGCCCCTCCGGTCCGCGGTGTCCCTCAGATGTGTTTGGCTCCAGCTGGTAGCAGTGCTTTCATCTGGCTGCTCGAAGTCGAGGCGCGCAGTTTATGGAGCACCAGTAGAGTGAAATGTTTGATTAAATCGTGAAACCCTATCACATAAAACCCTGAATTCACGGACATGGGATTCTTTTCTGTACAGGTGGGACGTTTTGTTGCCTTTTTCATCAACACGGAAAGGGCTGAAACGATAAGCAGGGCCATTTCATGGACGGCATGGACCGGTCAGCCCACAACCGTGCGCTACGTGCGTGTCGGCGGCGCGCGCGCCGCGATTCTAGATGGCCTTGGCCGCCCACGCGCAGCGGCGAGGCCCAGCTTTTCGAGACTTCTGTTTGGATGGCACGTCTCGAGTACCTCTTCGTGCGTCTATGCACCATTTCCGCCGGTGATTCTTATTTCAGTTACCGCGTGCTGCGATTCGAAGTTTTTGTGACCGATGTGCCGTAGGTGTAGTGTAGTGTGCCGTAGGGACACTGATGTAGACGGGTCTGACCTGGAACATTGGAGACGGGAACAGGAACGAAGATCGGAAACGCTGCGGACGAATTTTCTGACAGCCTTTGTGTAGTTGAGTCGGGAGCTAGGGATGGGAGGAGAGAGGGAGGGGGCCGGGCTGGAGGTGGATCAGCAGGGACAAGCCAGTGGGAGAGGGGGAGGGGTCCTGGCTGGAGGTGGATCAGCAGGGACAAGCCAATGGAAGAGGGGGAGGGGGCCGGGCTGGAGGTGGATCAGCAGGGACAAGCCAAGCCCTGACCCAAATATCCATGAAGTGTTTTGTGTTTTTTTTTTTGTTGCTTCTTTAATTTTATGTTTTGTTTGTGTACACTGTTTACGTTGTGTGCTATGTGCCGTCAGTTTTACTTCGGAACGGTATTTTTGCATGCTTCTCCGGCACTGGTAAGAAGAGCTTGCGTTGAACGAAGAACGCAGTAACTCATTGCAATGTCAACAAAAAAATTATCAGCAAGCCTGCCATTTTGCTGAAAAGGGTTCTTCATGTGGGCGATGTCAGCCTCGAGTGACATTCTCACGTGTCAGGCCTCATAGGAGATCTTTTGATCTCCAATAGTTCACCAGTGGTCGCGAGCTGTTTCTGCATTCATTATAGTTTCAGAAATCCTGGCAATAAAACATCATCGACCAGTTAAATTGCGTAATAACTGCATGTGCACCGGATGTCTTCTCAGATGCGTGGGTTCGGTGTGTTCTATGTTAAACGTTGACTTAAGAACAGTTTAGGTACTTTGACAAGCCGTACGTGGACAACATCGATCAACAGATTAGGTGGTGCTGCTGCTGTTAGTTTATTTACAGCGACTACTGCAGAAATTCTGCACCACATCTTGGTATTTTGGAATTACACAATTTTCCAAAAATGAGTGGAGAAATTGGATGGACAGGTGCTAAAATACTTCTTGATTTTTTGTGTCGCTGATATCATTCTGTCATGTCACAAATTTGTATGTATTTCAACTTATTTCATGCTGTTCGTATACAAAACACTTTGATTCTATGACACAAACAGGTTGTTGATTGATCACGATAGTAGATGCTCGTCGTTGAAACAGATAGAAATCCCATGGCGTACGCTGCCACCTATTCCTTAGGCCGTGGGGCTTATAATGTGATATGGGAACGCAAGCACCAATTTTCCCAACATTCGCGGTTTGTAGCTTTTTTGGGTCACCGTTTTACGTCTGCCGCTTTTGTCATCATGTGCTGATTGCGCTGGGTCAATCTGAAGTGCTCATTAAAATTGTATTCACGAAAGCCTGGGATACACATTACTTGCCCACGGTAGCTTTCTTCCTTTCCGTTTATTTCGTGTGAGCGAATGCAGCGAGGTGAGCGATGAGTGGGGCTATTGTTAGTGGCATTATTGCAGCAGCGGTTTTTATATTTGAAATAAAAACAAACCCAAAATTTTTGGTCGACCTGATTTCTTTAGCCTTTTTGAGCGGACAGTTGGTGCATCCTTGGACTTCAGACTGAACTTCGCACAAGAACTTGCAGAATACGGCACATCCTATGGAAGCCGTGTGGGCGTTGGACGCGGGCGACGTGCCGGGACCGGTGGTGGCCCCAGCCCCGATCCGCTGGGCGCGTCAGGTGGTGGCCTCCGCGGCCCGACAGCGGCCTGGGCCGCCCTCGCACACCTGCTGTCACGATGTCGAGCGACTGCGGCGACTCAGCTGCCGCTGCTGATAGGTCACGACGATAGGTAACACGGTATCGATCTGCATTGGCCCCCCGCCAGGCACGATGGGAGCAAAAAGCTGGTACACCCCAACGTTCGGTATCGCCGGTGAGCCACGTGCCGATTCCGGGCTGTTGTCCCCCTCCTCCCCCCCCCCTTATTGCCCGACGGAAACGCTTTTTGCAGCGGCTTCAGCGCTTTTTTGTTTGTTCTTGTTTTTTGTAAAAAGTTTGCTTTTTAAGGCATTGGCTGTCCGAAGGCTAACGAATCACTTACGCTGACTAATACGATTTCACTTTACATGTGGTCACGTATACACTGTCATGCTGCACATGTTACATAAATGAGAAATGAGGAATTATGCTGATGCTCTCTTTCAACATAACATATGCTTTGCGTTGCCCGGTTTGTGGCTCGCACCATTTCCAGATTAAATTGAAGCTCACCATCTAAAACGCCTGAAAGGTCCGAGGTTCGGATCTTGAAAACTGCCTTCCATGCAATTCAAATGACACTCTTCGCGCTCAGCAGAACAACACAAGCTCCTGGCATCAGCGCCTCGAGTGATTTACGACAGAAGCACCTCCATGAACCATCCTCGCGTCACGTGCTCGATTTCCAACTGGTTTGCACCAGCTCAGACTGGCTGATTCATGCCACGTGCACCCTTTTAAGCTTCAGCGCCGGCACCAGCTGGATATCCAGTGGTTTTTGCCATTTGGGCCTTGCACGGCACAAGTCCGGCACAAGTTTGCACGGCACAAGTCCGGCACACACGACGGCGGCACGTCTGAGCGGAACGCTCACGGTGTCCGTGAAGGTGTCGTATAATGGGTGGGCAGGGGAGCTGTGACGGAGAAAACGATGCCTCCGTGCAACGGCAAATAGCATCAGCCTGTTGGAAGATGACAAATATGGAAGGATCAGGTTAGCCGAGAGTTCCTTCGTCATTCGTGACAGTGGCTGCGGCATACATGAACAATTCGCTCAAGATATTTTTGTGCATAGTTGTTCTTTCCTTTCGGTCAGGAAGGATACCTTTTTAGAGTTGTTCTTTTACCTCATGTTTAGTGTGGCAGACTTGTTGGAATTCATATGTTGTGACATGCGGTCGACATTGTGAAAATAGTGAAAATCATTCGGTTACAAAGCGGGCTCGGTTATGGAAAGGGCTATGATTTGGCTTATGGAATAGACTATGGATAGGCTAAATAGACCTATCCTATAGAAAGGGCTCTGAACACATGAGCCTTGCAGGCCACCCGCCAGAGCCCTTTCTGTAGGATAGGCCTGTTAGGAGTGCGTGTTATTCAATTATATAGGAGTGTCTATAGGAGTGCTATATATATATATATCGAGCCTATAGGAGTGCGTGTTAAGAATTGGTGCCAAACCGGCTGAGCGCCTCGTCAGCGCGCGCGGAGCTGGACTGGGCTGTTCAGATGCACATGCGTGCCATGTGCTGAAAGATCGCAGAGAGTGACTTAGGTCATTAATTATGTTCGTATTAAAGTGCATCTTGTGTGTTATCGAAGTGCGTGTCGCGCGCTGTCTTAGGGCACAAGTTGTCTATGATCCATCAAAAACTTCCTCCCCGGGTAATACGTAGAGCTTAGAGCGTTTTTCAACGATGTTGACGTCATATGCACAGACCTTGGCTTCCCGCTGCCAAGACAGGTTCCTATGCCTCCCTGCTTACAGCAGGCATGACAGGCGTTTCATGGTGCTGATGGCTATCATTATGGCTATGTCCGGCTGAAGTTTGGCGGGACACGACGCCGTCAAACGTGTCCTCTTCTGAGCCACTGAACGCGGCCAACTTACGTCGGACGACCGCGTCAGACGCAGAGCAATGAAAAGGCCAAAATGTTCACTGGTCAGTTACGCATGAGCCATCGCTTCTCTTCGCCACCACCTGGCGCCGGATCCCCCTCTCGAGCTGACCGCCAAGCATCGTATGACGAGTGCAGCGGTCCGCCCAGCTCCTGCTGACTCCCCCCCCCCCCCCGCCAGGTCAGCTGTGGAAGAGTCCGGAACAGCTGCGCTCGCCACCGACAGCGCCGCACCGCTCGCAGGCGGACGACGTGTACGCGTTCGGCATCATCCTGCACGAGATCATGTGCCGCGAGGGTCCGTTCGGCAGCAGCGCGCCGCGCGAGGAGCCCAAACGTGAGCAGGCACCGACCGCCGGGCGCAGAACCTAGGGGGTTAGCTGGAGGACGGACCGTGCCATGCTCACGAGCACCGTCGGCCTCGCATGTCAAAATAGTGTATGGTGGAGGCGCTGCTGCGCTGCGGTCAAGGCATGCTCGGAAATTCCTCTTCATCGTCCTGCTCTGCACACATGGTGTGAGTTTGACCCTCTCCCGACCCTTGACCTACCTCCGCCGAAATGATGAATACGCAAGCTGTTTCCCGCGGCCCATGCTCCACGTCTCGTGTGCGCAGTGCGCCCGCGGCGGAACGCCTCACTCGCCGTGTGCCCGCGGCGGACACCTCACTCTCGTGTGCCCGTGGCGGACGCGTGTATCGCGTGCCCGCTGTAGGGACGGGCTCTGAGGCGTCCCTCAGGTGACCGCATTGTCGGCGGGTGACCCCAGTGTCGGCGGGTGACCCTGGTGTCGGCTTGTGCTGCAGAGATCGTGGAGCGGGTGCAGGCGGGACCGGGGCCGGGGCCGGACGACCAGCCGTTCCGGCCCTCCATCGGCTGTCTGCGGCCGCCTCCCGACATGCCGGCAGAGTCAGAGAAGGTCAGTTGATGCCGGGTGTCGGACCAGATATCGGTCATGGATGTCTGGAGAGCTGCCGGCTGTCGGGGGCAGGAGGGCTAGAAGAGTTCTCGTCTGGTGGTGGTGGTGGGTGTCATCGGGGTAGATGGAGATTAGGTTCCGCTGAGGGCAGGTTATCTGACCACCGTAGCAGAGTGAGGGCCAACGCTCACTTTTGTAAAGCGGCGTCTAATGGTTGCCTAGAGCAGGAGGTACCGCCATCGCCATAATCATTAATGCCTCCTTTCATGAGAAAAAAAGAAAGAATACGTGGGATATGTAGCCATGCAGTTATACGCTGCCATGTCCAGAATCATCGTCTCCATCACCAGCTGTGTCACCTTCTCCGCTCTGGCCCGGCAGCTGGTGGTGGAGTGCATGCAGCAGTGCTGGAACGAGTCTGACCTGGCCAGGCCCACATTTCTGGACGTGAAGAAGATGCTACAGCCCCTCCGCTCCGGACTGTGAGCATGGGCCCAGTGTTCCACTGCCCGATGACACGCCGCCAGGTTATGGCTTGCCGTAACGTCTGGACATTTTGAACTCCCAATTTTTTGCTGTGCATGCCGTGCAGGTTTTGTGCATGCCAGCACTAGACACAGCCAATGGGCCTCTCTTTCCACTCGGAAGTTCTCTCCCGTCCGGACAATGGATATGGCCGCACGTGTCATCTCGGACTTATCACGGTGGGGCTGGCTAATTGGCTGGCTTCGGATCAGCTGTTGAATGACCTCGTGACTCGACTGAGATGCCTGCCTCCTCTGCTCGCCTGCTACTCTCGCCAGCCTGAGAAGTGCCTGCAGTGTTGAGACAGCCTGTTCTCCGTAGCTCTTGGGCCATCTGTGCCATCTTTGCGTTGTGAGCTGGTCAGTGGTGCTGAGGCGCTCGTTACTTGTGATCTGGTCAGTGGTGCTGAGGCGCTCGTTACTTGTGATCTGGTCAGTGGTGCTGAGGCGCTCGTTACTTGTGATCTGGTCAGTGGTGCTGAGGCGCTCGTTACTTGTGATCTGGTCAGTGGTGCTGAGGCGCTCGTGACTTATGAGCTGTTCAGTAGTACTGAGGCGTTCGTTACGCCAGATCTGTGTGGCGAGCGCTGTCGCTGCTGCTGCTCTGTTACTTGCCATGGATCTGCGCGTGGCCAAAGTCAACAAGAGGTTTCTCAGCGCTCTTCTTTGGGTCATTCGGAGAAAGAAGTAAGCTGTTTGAATGATCAATACGTTAGCTGTTCCCGGATCAGGTGTAATTCTGTGGGTCGACGGAGCTGACACCACCTCTTCATTAAATGCAGGCATTGCCCTAAGAAGCGTACATCAAGTGTAGGTCAAGTCATGCTACATGATTTGCTGTGTTCATACTTGGTATGCGTTGTCCAGATCTGTTAATCTGGTAAACCAAATGATGGAGAAAATGGAGAAGTATGCGAACAACCTGGAGGATCTGGTGAGGGAGCGCACCCACCTGCTGAATGAAGAGAAGCAGAAGACGGAGGCTCTTCTCTATCGCATGCTGCCACCGTAAGACTTATATAACATCGGAATGTTTTGCTCGGCGTTTTCACTCACTTTAAATCGAGTGTTTTTTGCTAACCTCCACGAGAATCGTTTGCAAAATTCACAGAAAGCACACGATGATACTCACAATTGCTGATTTGTGTTCATCATAGAACGCTTACGTGTTTGATGCAGGTAGATGGGATTGCAACGCACTGGACATTTAAGCTGAGCCGAAGGCGGAAGTGTCATCGAAATTTATGTCATATAGTCCACCGTCAGAGACGGCGCCGCGAGTGGTGAAGGTGAAGCTCTGGGCGGTCAGGTCGCTTGGGCACAGCACGTTCGGAGGCGAAAACTTATAGAACAGCCGCTAGGAGTTGAGCTTGTTTGGGCGCTGGGGTGGCAGTCGGTGACCTGCTCCGAGCTGCCAGCAACGTCCGCTCCGCTGAGAGCTGAGCTTGTTTTGGCGCTGGGGCGGCAGTCGGTGATCTGCTCCGAGCGGCCAGCAACGTTCGCCACTTTTAATGACTGGAGTGCGGCGAAAACATCACGTGCGAGCAGTACCGTCCCGCAAGGCCAGAAGTCATGTGTCACATTACAAGTCATAGCACATGATCTTTTTACTCTGTGTATGGCAGAGCGATGTTGTTGGTTTTCTTGTAGCGCGATTATCCACTGGGTATAAAAAGTCTTCCGTGAGGCCGGACGTGTGTGTTTTTACCCGTCTTGGCTGATAGTCGGGGCATTGTGTGCACGCTATTTGTGACTGGTTGTAAAAACACTTCATATCATATCACATCGTTCCACTTTCCGGGCGATAATGTGCCCCTAATATTACTCGCGGTATCTGATTGTTTTGGCCTTGCCGTGCTGGTGCTGTGCCGGCTGACCTGACGATGGTGCTGAACAGGCCCCGTACGCTTTCGATACCATTCAGTTTTACGGGATACTCCTCCTTTGGCTCCCGAGCTCCTGAGCTCTCGAGGTTCCGAGCACCTGAGCTCCCGAGCTTCCGAGCTCCCGAAATCCCGAGCTCCCGAGCTTCCAAGCTCTCGAACTCCCAAGGTCCGGAGTTTTCAAGCTCCCGAACTCCCGAGCTTCCGAGCTCCCGAGCTCCCGAGCTCCCGAGCTCTCGAGCTCTCGAGTTCCCGAGCTCTCGAGCTCCCGAGTTCTCGAGCTTCCAAGCTCTCAAACTCCCTAGGTCCCGAGTTTTCAAACTTCCGAACCCCCGAGCTCCCGAGCTCCCGAGCTCCCGAGCTCCCGAGCTCTCGAGCTCCCAAACTCTCGAACTCCCAAGGTCGCGAGCTCCCAAGCTCCGGACTCCGGAGCTCGTCTTTGCCGTGCCCTTCACCCGTCACCGCCGCCGCTGCCGGCCCGGGAGCGTTGCGCCGCTGCCAGGCGGCCGTTCGCCGCGTGACCCCGGCGCCCGGTCTGACGGCGTATGACCCGCCGGCAGGCCGGTGGCGTACAACCTGACCCGGGGTATCCCCGTCCAGCCGGAGACGTTCGACTCAGTCACCATCTACTTCAGCGACATCGTTGGCTTCACACAGATCTCAGCCGACAGCTCGCCGCTACAAGTGGGTCACGCCGGTGTATTCTACCCGCCCCCCTCACCCCCACCCCCTGCACCACCTGTCCGGTAGAGTGCACATGTGTCTCACGAACGGTGGGTTTGTCCCTCCCTCCTAACCCTGTCAAAGCTACTTAGTTAGCAAGTATCCTGCTGTCGGAACCGGGGTGGATGGGGTCTGATCTCCTCCGGCGGAGTTGGAGGCATCCACTCCCAGATGTGACCTCTCCCCCTATCCGGGCTGGTGGTGGCTCACATTTGTCCAGCTGCTGGAGCTGGCGGGCCCCACACGTGACCCACTGCCGGGACTGATCGAGCTTGCGCGTCTCGTCGTGCAGGGGGAGGGGGAGGGGGACGTCCCCGCTATAGGTTCACATATGTGGCGACTGCCGATGGATGAGGCCTCTCCTCTCAGTCGGATTGATGATCTCACACAAGTGTTTCAGTTCATGTCTCTCTACTTTTTTGTGAACGCACCTGGCAGTGACCTTTCGTGCCTACATCATTGTCGATGGTAGTTTCTGGGTAGACGCGAGTTATAGGCCTTGTTTGTGCTCACTGGAGGCAGGTGGCCGGTGACAGTCGCTTTGAGTGTGTGTAAACGGGAGTGTGTGTAAACGGGCCAGCAACATGTGTTCGGGAGTGTGTGTAAGCGGACCAGCAACATGTGTTCGGGAGTGTGTGTTAGCGGACCAGCAAAGGGAGATGATTTAAAGTTCAGATTGCTCTAGCGTTATTCAAAAAAGCCTCACAGAATGGCTGACGTTGAAATTGGGTCATCTTTGTCAAATTGGTCAGCGGCCGTCTTCCACGATTTTGTAAAGATGTGGCCACAGGCCATGCCATCAGTATGGAACAAAATGGAAGGTTGAACTGGGATATCAAACTTCTCGTCGGCATTGTCAAAAATGAGTACTTAAAAATGAGTTTCATAAAGCTCGTTGACTGATGCCGTAAAGGAAGCTGAATGCTGTATGTTTCCGCCTTTGGGCCATCGGTCACCAGCATCTGGGCGGCGAAACTGAGGCTGCTCCTCAGCTTCCCCCTCGCCGGTCCAGGCATGGTCTCAGCTGCCCCCTCGCTGGTCCAGGCATGGCCTCAGCTGCCCTCTCGCCGGTCCAGGCATGGTCACCCAATATTGTCGGGTGTCTGGCTTCACTGCAGTTGGAAGCACTCAGATGCTTTTATCTCTCCGGCTTTGGGTAGCGTGAAGTACTCTGGTGTCATAATGCTCTTTGGTGGAAGTCGGATAGATATCGTTGACAAGCTGCTGTGAGGTTAGTCATTTCAAGAGCGGACGGATATCGATGATCGATATAAGGTGACACTGCGGCCCGACAAGCCTAGCTGAGACGCCCGAGACGCTCTGAGTGGAAACACGAGCAAGAAAGCCTTATCGACTCAACGTATGAAACAAAGTGGTGCACACTTACACCCGGTGTGGTCTACGGAGGCGCCGACGCCTGAAGTCCGTCTCCACATGTTGTAACGTGCTCGGTGCCCGCGTTCAAAGCATTATCATACGGTTGGATGATTTGCTCGTGATAGCGCAAAATGGGCCAAGTGAGTATTTTATTAGATTGACATAAAAGATGGCCATGTCAGATCAAAGTAATGAGCAGGTGTGTCTCGATTTCCCTCCCTACAACCGACGTGTGAAGCGCGTCGTTGAAGATTATGTTGGCTACCAGCGCTGCGAAATAACTGGAGGACGACACATGAAGCTGGTGCGAGCACAGATCTGGCGAATGCGGGTCGTCCTTGTGATGCGTTTAAGTACAGCTCTTGTGGTCAGCAATGACCTTGTGATGCGTTTAAGCCCAGCTTTTGTGACCAGTAATGACCTTTTCAACGCGATGAAGTAAAAAGACACGTGGAAGGTGAAGTAAGAAGACACGTGGAAGGAGGTAGAAATACGGTAGCACTGTGCTCATCTTGTGTTACCGACTCACTGCGGCTTACACCGCGGGATAACTCCAAGTTCAAGCGTTTACGTCCAAGCGCTTACGTAATCATGGTCTTTGTCCCATTATTGGCTGGACCCGACATTTCGTTTGCCGTTTGTTGGACGCGCGCACCTCGTTGATCGGATATCTTCGAAACATAGCACTGACGCGTGGAGTTCGCCAAATTGTAAAGAATGTACCTGCTGCGCGGTCTGCAGCGCCATATCAGGGTTTGCCGTGCGCTCTGATGGACCTCCCAAGTACGTTGGCTACAAGGCCTTTTCTTGGCCAAGGGTCACCGCATGCACCCGGTGAGACTGGGGTGACGGGACCGCGGGGTGAAACGGGCTGGTGAGACGGGGGTTACGAGACCGCAGGGTGAAACGGGCCGGTAAGACGGGACTACGGGACCGCAGGGTGAAACGGGCCGGTAAGACGGGGCTACGGGACCGCAGGGTGAAACAGGCCGGTGAAACGGGGGTTACGAGACTGCAGGATGAAACGGGCCGATGAGACGGGGTTACGGGACCGCAGGATGAAATAGGCCGGTGAGACGGGGCTACGGGACCGCAGGGTGAAACGGGCCGGTGAGACGGGTTACGGGACCGCAGGGTGAAACGGGCCGGTGAGACTGGGTTACGGGACCGCAGGATGAAACGGGCCGGTGAGACGGGGGTTACGAGACCGCAGGATGAAATGGGCCGGTGAGACGGGGTTACGGGACCGCAGGATGAAACGGGCCGGTGAGACGGGGTTACGGGACCGCAGGATGAAACGGGCCGGTGAGACGGGGTTACGAGACCGCACGATGAAACGGGCCGGTGAGACGGGGGTTACGAGACCGCACGATGAAACGGGCCGGTGAGACGGGGCTACGGGACCGCAGGATGAAACGGGCGCAGAGGAAGGAAGGGCAGATGAATGCAGGCTGCCCGCGGAATGTTTATGTTTTGCTGAGCTGTGTTTTGATCGAAGGGAAATGTGCCTATGTCTCATCCATTTTATTTGCGATTTCAGGTGGTGGAACTGCTGAACGACCTGTACACCCTGTTTGATGACATCATACAGGGCTATGATGTCTACAAAGTCGAAACAATCGGTGACGCATATATGGTCGTAAGTTGGTCGACCGTTGTGGAACCTTCTGCGTCTTCTGTATCGTTTTAAACTCAGCAATTCATTTTATTTCACAAGTGCCTTTCATCTGGATGCCAACGCGGCATCACATTTGTACACCACGAAATGCTTGTTTTCGCGCAGGTAAGCTAGAAATATGCTGTTTTTTGTTGGTTGCCTGCACTTTTGGTTAAAGTTACATTTTCCCTGCATTTTCCTCCGCGGCTTTCCCTTCATTGTACGCATTGTTATTTTCCTTCGCGGGCAGCAGTGTCAGTGGAATTGTACAGGTTTCCTTTCTGAGTAGTGGTAGTAGTAATTGGGACTTTCGGGCGCTTCGACTGCCGGCTGTATGGCATTCATGGTATCCTCTCTGAACTGAATGCAGTCGTGTGTATAATTCTCAGTCGCCATTAGGTCAGTACACTATAAGAGCTATTCCGTTGTTCATTGCATTCGCTAACTTCTTGATTATTAGCGGTGGACGGCGGGAAGTTTTGGATATTTTGGCAAAAAAATAAGGACTCGTGCAAGATTTTGGTCGAAGACTACAGTACGAATCACGTGGCTTCATTAACAATTCATGGGCGAACTGCGCTCTCAGCATAGCCGACGGTTCATTTTTAGGACAGTGCGCCTTAGAAATACGATACAAAACGATAGGTCTTACGATTAACGCTTTAGTGCTACGTTAAACCTTATGTATGCGTAACGTTAACCGATGTAGATGTTTAACGTTAAACGCTCTAAACGAGCTTTTTGTCTCGGCGCCTGGCGGATACACGGCATTGGGTCAGCTGATTATAAAGGGTATGCTGTGACATCATTGCGTACTTTGGCAGGCCACCTCGCGCGCGCGGATGAAACTGTTTCCAGAATGAATCTTCTACCATTGTACTTCGAGAACTTTCACCCACCTGCGTCTTGATCCAGCTCAGTTTTTTATGGAAAACCCCGTACAATCTCTCTATTAACACGCGCTTGGGTGGGGAGGGGTAAATTGACCCCCTAAGGTTCTTCCAGAATGGTTTCTGAACGGCGCCAAATTTTGCATAGCTGTAGACAATTGAATAGCAGATCGTTTGACAAAAAATTGGATATGATTTGTGAGGTTGCTGACATCTGGCAGGTCAAAGTCAGGCTATGGTCTCAGCGAAGTCCGTTTCTGGAGAATCGTTCAATCTGATGCAACAACGTAGTATTAGGCGAAGCCATACATCTCCGAGATGCTTCCTCAGGTAACACAAGTATTGAAGGAGCAAATTATGTTGACCTTAGGTCAGGTATGAAGGTCAGACTAAGGTCATAGCCAACCTGTTTTATTACGCTATGGCTTGCTACATGGAATATTTTCTGGTGCTCGTTTCAAATTTACTGATAGCAGGAACCGCGTTATACATCTTCCATGGACTTCTTAGAGGTCAGAGTAAGTCATTGACATAAAAGGACCCAGGCCAACGTTTTGTTTTTACAAACATGCTGCTAAGCGTAATCTGTATCGCTTATTCAAATACAAAGTTCAGAGCAGTCTTCCATCATTTTGGTCACCATGACCTTCAAAAGGTCAAACAAGGTCACTGACCTTAGTGGAGCATGTGATCTTTTGCTTAGGAACAGTTATCTAGGTTGTGGGGACACTTCGGAGACCAATCTGGAATTTGACCTTGTTTGACCTTATAAGAGCCAAAGATTGCAACCTAGGAACCTCAAACTTTGACTTAAGTGAGTTCACGTATAGGTCAATACACCCTGAAAATTTGGTGTCTCTAGCTCTTCTGGTTCCCGAGATCTTAGGGGGGTCAAATTGACCCCCCACCAGAGCAAATGGTATCTAGCAGGCCACCCGGACGCGTGTTAAAAGTGATGTTACACAGTATTATCGGTCTGTGATACTGCTTCCAAACACAGATTTTGCTAGGACTGAGCCAAAACTCCTGCTAAAGCTCCGAATGCCTGTTGCCTGTAAAACTCGCAGAAAACGTGTTTATATGTGCTCTACCCGGCTGCGCATTCAGTATCATGTTCAGCAGCTACTGACTCTTTCTTTTGCCGCTAGGTGTCAGGTGTGCCCGAACGCAATGGGATCCGGCATGCGGGCGAAATCGCTTCGATGGCGCTCAGCCTGCTCCAGGCGATCCGCAAGCACACGATCCAGCACCGGCCCAGCGAACAACTCAAGCTGCGCATCGGGGTGCATACCGGTAGGTGGTAGGTGGGGGGGGGGGGGGGGGAGGGGAGGGACCGGGGGGGGGGGGGGGGGCGCTAGAGGGCTGGATGGACTGGGAGCTTCAGGCTGTGAGCCATTGCCCCGACTGGGGCGGAGGTCCCTCAACAGAGTTTGGACCTATATGGGCTCAGTAAGGAGGGCCAAGTTTTGAGGCGGCGATCTATGGCGTGCTGCTCGCTGAACTCCGTCGCACCAGGAGAAGGCAGGCCGGCTGTAATCTTCATCATCCACCCGTCATGGAGGCGGTGTCAACGTCACCAGACAGCATCGTCACATCCAAACTGCATCTTAAACTACTCCGTGCTGTTCTGCGGCCTCTCCGCGCCCCCAGTGATTCCCTGTGACGTAAGGTCCGGCGACACGCCGCTGACCCCCCCCCCCCTACCCTCCCCGCAGGTCAGGTGGTGGCCGGCGTGGTGGGACTCACCATGCCGCGCTACTGTCTGTTCGGCGACACCGTCAACACCGCCTCGCGCATCGAGTCGACCGGCGAGCCGTTGCGCATCCACATATCGGACCGGTGTCACCGCACGCTGGCGCGCCTCGGCGGCTACCGGACGGAGCCGCGCGGCCCCGTACCCATGAAGGGCAAGGGTCTAGTGGAGACGCACTGGCTGCTGGGCGCCGACGCCGGCACTGTGCAGCGGCGGCGTGTCGACCTGCCGTCGCTGCCACCACTCTTCTCGCGCAGCAGCGTGTGTCACGGCACGGCGGCGCAGTGTGCGTCCACCCTCAGTTTGCCGAGCGAGCGCACACGCGGCTCGGCGGCGGCGACCAGCGGCGCCCCGAGTCCGGCGCCATCGCGGTCGTCGGAGCGCCCGAACCGGCTGGCCGTGCCGCGCTGCCTCCACCGACCGAACGGACTGCCGCCCATTCGGGAGTCGCGCAGCCTGGAGAACTTCCGGCCGGCGCCGCGGCTGTCGGCGCCGCCGCACCGGCGCGACTCGCGCTCGGTCGGCAACTGTCGCGACCTGGGGCCGCCGCAGGACCTGGGGCCGCCCGGCGAGGTCCAGCCGCTCATACCGAGTCCGCGCCTGCTGCAAATGCGGCTGGCGTCCCAGCTGGAGTCGGCCGCGCTGGCTGATGAGGAGGAGGCGGAGGAGACGGAGGGTGAGGAGGCTGGTGGCGGCGGCGGCGAGGCAGCAGGGGAGGAGGCGGTGGTGGTGGTGCCGCTGCCGCCGGCCGCCGCGCCGCCCGCCTGGGACTGCCTCAAGGACTGGTTTCGGCGCTTCTTCAGCCGTCACCGACTCGAGCCGCCCATGCCGCTCAACGGCAAGCTCAAGCACAACGGCTACAGCCTCCACTCGAGCCACGACACGGCCGTGTGATGCGCCGCGGCTGGGCGACCGCGGCGCCGCCGTGTGATAGCCCTGGAGACGGCGGTCGGCAGCGGGGCTGGCGCGACGCTGGCCGGCCCCGCAGCGAGGTCCGGCGCCGGTGTGCGCCCCGTTCGTTTGAGTGCCATGTGGCTGTGGTCCGGCTGGGAGGAGCCCGACCGGCGCGGGCTCCCGCGCCGCGGCGGCAGGGACAACACGCGCCGGGGCCCGCGCGCGCCGGCGGCCCAGCGGGGTGTAGGCAGTTCCATAGTGTTCATGAGGAGGCGGCGGCGAAGCGGCCGCCCAAGTGCACATCTCATCACACACGATATTTGTCACGAAGTTGTTGTTTGATGTATTTACCTGTGCTGCCGTTTGTTGTATTTGCAGCATGTTTATTGTAATTAATATATCATGATCATCCACACCAGTGGCGTGGTGGCCGCGGTGATGAGTTTGAAAATTCCATGAGGTGATAGCGTGAATGAAATGCAATAAAGTTTCAGGCGCAATATAGTTCAGAGGCTATGTCACACTTGGCACTACGTCACGCGTGAGCAATGCTGGATGGAATTTGGTTTCCAAACGTTAATAGTGTACACACTGAACGTCCATCCGTCCGTTGTGGGGCAGCCTACAGGCTCTACCAGACCGATCAGCTGGTACTTTTCAAGGGATCGCAAACACTGCGAAGCTGGTGCCTAGAACAATCTTTGATCGTCCTCAAAGGTCACAGGCCAGCTGACTTTAGGCACCTACACAGAGCCTCTCGGTCGAACACACCGCAGAGGAACGGTGCGTGGCATGACAGCGTCCAGCTTACATGCATCAAAGCGCCTTGTCAAGTGGGTGATAGCTTCCGACTGCTGCTTAGCATCATCAGCTGGCCGCAGTGAGACCCGGAGTCCCCGTTCCTCACAGTACTGCCGTGGCGACGATGAGGCGCGTCTTTCGTTTCGTGATATTGCTTCTAGGAGCAGCCTGTTTTGTTGGCCGTTCGTAGCTTTTGAGGTTCACTGTAGATTAACAGAACTTGCGGCAGATTCTGCTCTAGACATACACACTGAGGTCCCCTAAGCGGACAGAGCACTGTGGAGACTTTGTGGTCAGCAGTGCAGCAGGCTAATGCTTTGACAGGAAATCGTTTGCAAGGAGACAAAACATGAACGTTTCGAGCGTCCTACGTCGATTCCATTCCTGGTGTCACCGGAATGTCAGTCCATCCCTGGCGTTACCCGGAGGCGTCATTCTTGGGAAAATCGACGGATGGGAGTTGAAAATCATGCGGTGGAGCTTGGCCGGTGCGGCATTTTGATGTACGCATTTGAATAGTACATCTTAAAAGACCATGCGTCCTTAACATTAAGAGAATATCGGTTGGAATATTGCACTCTACTGTAGCGAGCTGTGTGTGGCAAGAGGTGACGATGATGTGACGCACTGCAGCTGTTAGGTATTTTGCCGTTTTGCTAGGAGTGAGTTCACCGGTCATGTTGCGTTGAAAGATTAGACCGATGAGGCGTAGACTTGGCATCTTGTAAAGAACGCTGCTCCAAACACCGGCCTTGCAGGAAGGTGCTACTTTTGCGCGCTTGCGCGAGGCCAGACGTGCCCACGTGCGCGCGACTGACCAGGAATGCCCTCCAGGGGTGATGAGACGTGACGTCCGTTACCGGCGCTGTGCCGCAGCTATCACCGCCACGCACACCTAACGGCCGCAGGCTAACGCCGTCACACACCCAACGGCTGCAGTTAACCCCGCCTCACACACCTATCGGACGCAGCTAACGCCGCCACACACACCCAACGGCCGCAGCTAACGCCGCCACACACACTCAACGGCTGCAGCTAACGCCGTCACCCATACCCAACGGCCGCAGCTAATGCCACAACACACACCCAACGGCTGCAGCTAACGCCGCCACACACACCCAACGGCTGCAGCTAACGCCGCCACACACACCCAACGGCCGGAGCTAACGCCGTCACCCATACCCAACGGCCGTAGCTAATACCGCAACATACACCCAACGGCCGCAGCTAACGCCGTCAACCATACCCAACGGCCGCAGCTAGTGCCGCCACACATACCCAACGGCCGCAGTAAACGCCGTCACCCATACCCAACGGCCGTAGCTAATGCCGCAACATACACCCAACGGCCGCAGCTAACGCCGTCAACCATACCCAACGGCCGCAGCTAGTGCCGCCACACACACCCAACGGCCGCAGTAAACGCCGTCACACACACCCAACGGCCCCAGCTGATGCCGCCATGTACACCCAACGACCGCGTGAAATGCTCTACGAGCCATGAGAAAACTACAGCAGCAGTCCTGACAACCGCAGCCGCTGAAATGCGACCCTCGGAAGATAACGCGCAACAGACAGCCGGAGCCTGCCTTGACTCGGACGCGGAACATGTGAGCAAACAAAAGTTTGAACCGTGACTGAAGATCGCATTGTGATAGCAAAACCCACATGGCGAAAGAGATTGGGTTGTGTTGGGTGAGTACACCAGGTTTATTCCGGTTTATTTCGATTGGGTCAGGTTATGCTGAATTAGTCAGAACTAGACTGCGTCAGGTTTATAGCGTACTACTCAAGCTCCGTTAACGCTATCAGCACTTGCCTTCACGTTAATTAGTATTCCGAAGGCGACTTGAAACGACTTCACGTAAAGCTTTTGCCGATTGCAGTTGGGTCAGGTTGGGTGACGTGTTCGTCCGCCCTGTTTCATTTGAAGTCCTTGGCAATCCGAGTCGGGCTTAGGCGCCATGGCAGTAACCAAACACGGCATCGAACTCATGCAATTTAACAGTGGTTAACCCATGACTAGGCATCGGGCTCCCGATACAGGGATTCCGACTCGGGCTCAGGTCCGTGGGTTAAGACACATGCTGGCTGCGTAGAATAGACAGCAATGCTCCTCATACGAGCTCTGTGTTTACAACATACCTGAGTTGTGAGGGAGGCTGGGATCCCGGACCGTCGTCCCGTCGCCCGCGATATTGGGATCCTGGTCCCGGTTGGCCTGAAGGGTGTCTGTCCTGCACATTTTGTGTAACCGCTAAGAAGGCTTTCCTTCACTGTCTGACTGAGCACTGAGATACTAAATACAAGATGAAAGAAGTCGGTGTAAATAATGTGTCGTAGTAAGATAGACGCCGCTTACCTGTGCCAGCATAAACCGTAAACCTGGCAGACACGTGTATGGAACCGTTCTCAGAACTTAGCATTTTCGCGTGATCTGCCGACTACCCGGCAGTTCCCGTGGTTTGTACGCGTCGCCGGCGGGGAGCCACGGTCAACATTAGCGGCGTAGTACTCCCACGGAGGCATTCTCACGCAGCACCCTGACGATGGGCGTGGGTCCTGCGCTGCACACCAAATCATATAAAAAGTGGATCCGGTATCTGCTTTCACGCGGAAAAACGGACCAGCCGGCCAAGTGGAGCGCCGCAGGAGCGCCGTTTGGCAGGGCGGCGTCGGTTTCCATGGTCCCCATTCTGGGCGGTGTCATCGGCCGCGATAATGTGAGCGTGCGGCGGCCGTCGCGATGTCGGTGAGAACTTATTGTGGTGGTCAGCGAGAACTTACTGTGGTGGTCAGCGAGGACTTACTGTGGTGATCAGCGAGAACTTACTGTGGTGGTCAGCGAGATCTAACTGTGGTGGTCAGCGAGAACTGGCTGTGGTGGTCAGCGAGAACTTACTGTGGTGGTCAGCGAGATCTAACTGTGGTGGTCAGCGAGAAGTTACTGTGGTGCTCAGGGAGAACTGGCTGTGGTGGTCAGCGAGAACTGGCTGTGGTGGTCAGCGAGAACTGGCTGTGGTGGTCAGCGAGAACTGGCTGTGGTGGTCAGCGAGAACTAGCTGTGGTGGTCGATACGATAAGAGAAATGGACGCAAAGTCCATGCGTCAGTGTGATGTTTCGAAGACATCCGACCAGTTTCCCACACGCAAGCACGTATGGACAAACGGCAAACTGGTCACCTGTGGCCAGCTAATGTGGCGAAGACTACGACTGCAAACGTCGCAAACGTTTAAACTTCATTGAAGTAGGTACGTCGCAACAAACAGACCACGGAAAGCGCTCATCACATTTTCATGTACGAACCATGTCTCACAAACTCCGGCACCTGCCGAGGGCGTGCGGCTGCCGTCGAATCTGAGCTCCGTCTCGGCTGGCCTCGCAGCCAGCAGTTGGCAGCGCCGATCGCTGGGAGGCCAGGTGTTCTGATCACGGGCGTCATGCACCGGTTACGCCAAGAGACGATTCGTACTCAACGACGGAAATTAATATTCGTTAGACTCGGACCATCCATCACCGTGGCCATGCACTGCCCGTGCCGTTCCCGCTCCCCCCCCCCCCCCCCCCGCCTCCTCCCCCTGCAGATGTTGCTCAGTGTAGTACCGTAATATCCGCATTTATTGGAGATTTGGGGAAGCCGTATAACAGAGCAGCAATAAATGTGCGCCTTGTATTAAACGTGGGTGTTTCGTTTTAATCTCGGGTGGAGTGTTTCGTTTTTCAGGTCATGAGAGGTCTCGAGGCTACCGGACATCACTGAATATTGATGATATACCCATAAATTAGTGGAAGTTAATGTCTTGCACACCGTTTCTCCCATGTCATTTATAGTGACTTACTTCGCCACCTGCACACGTACCCTGTCCGCTACACCCGTTCCCCGCATCGGTCTTACTGCACCATGCCGTGCTGCTCCACGGAAGCCTCTACACCTCTTCCCTCTAGCCTTCTTGCACGCATTTGAACAATGACACTCCTTTCTGCACCTTTTCCCATCGGCTCCACTGAGATCCCCACACTCGTTCCTCTCGCAGCGTCTGTTCAGCGCCTTTTCCAAGCGCCCGGCTTCTCTCATGCCGTCCTTGCATCCCTGCCCATCGCCCGGATACTTTCGTGCCGTCCTCGCACCCTTGCCCATCTCCCGGCTTCTCTCGTGCCGTCCTCGCACCCTTGCCCATCGCCCGGCTATTCTCGTGCTGTCCTCGCATCCTTGCCCATCGCCCGGCTTCTCTCGTGCCGTCCTCTTTGCACCCTTGCCCACTGTCCCACTGCGCCTGGGCCCAGCTGTTGCCGTGGCGCGGCGGCCGGCGGCGGTGTCGGCGGTGTCGGCTTTGTCTCGGCGGCGGTCAGCGGGCCGCCGCGTCACCTGAGCGGTCGGCGTGGGCCGCGCTGGCCCCGATCTGTGACGGCGACGTCCTGCAGATGGCGCTGCCGGCAGCTGCCGTCGGCTTCTCCGGCCCGACGGCCGCCGGTCGCCGCAGTGACGCGCGTGCCCGCCGCACTGAGCGCCAGACCGGCGGGGGCGGCACGAGTCGGGTCAGGCGGAGAGGTCTGCCGGTGTCGGGGGAGGTCGGCAGCGGCCGGAGAGTGTCGTGTCCAGCCGGCGGCGACCGGACGGGCCAGGTCGGATCGACGGCGGCTCGACAGTGCCTGTCGCGTGACTGAGGGTGTCAAGACAGGCCAGTGTTGCCCGATTGATACGGGCGAGGTCGGCGGTAGCAGTGTAGCATCGTGTCAGGACTGCAGTGGCCCACAGCATCAGA